AAAAAAAAAAAAAAAAAAGAAAAGAAAAATATAACCTTGTAAATGCCACATGGTTGTCATAATTACAACAGTTGCACAGTGTAGCTTCCTTATGTGTAGTGAAGAAGCAAGCAAAACAGTCCATTGTTTCTCAGCACAATGATACAACATTATTAGACCTATAAAATTCCAGAGTAAACTACAGTGATTTAAAGGTAAGATAACAATCTTAGCAGAAAAATATTACATTCTTGACCTTAGGTCTGGGCATACAATGTCAGTGTGGTATTTGAAAGTAGACTCTGGAGTCAAGTTGATCTGGGTCAGAATCCTAAATTTCCCACTTAGTAACTATGTGACTTGTATAAGATACTCAACTTACTCATCTCTCAAGATTGGGATACTAAAACCATTTGCCTAAGATTGTTGTGGGAATCATGATATTTAACGAATATGACAGCATGTGGCATACAGAAAATTCTCAGCAGATGTCTGTTTCCTCCTCTTGTGCCCCTTTGCTAGGTTTACAAAGATGAGCAGGTGGTGGTGATTAAGGATAAGTATCCTAAGGCCCGTTATCACTGGCTGGTCTTACCTTGGGCTTCCATTTCCAGTCTGAAGACTATAACCAGGGAACACCTTGAACTCCTCAGACATATGCACTCTGTTGGGGAAAAGGTGATTGCGGATTTTGCTGGGTCCAGCAAACTCCGCTTCCGATTGGGCTACCACGCCATTCCTAGTATGAGGTAAGCATGTGGGTAGTGCTGGTTCCTTCTGGTTCTGTCCAGATGGGCACATAAGGTGGGGTTGTGAGAGTGCTGATTGCTTTGAGGCCCAGGGGAGGTGGGTGGGATGTTTCCAAGGCAGGTGGGTGGAAACTTCCACACCTTTTCTGACTTGCTTATATTTGCCTGTAATACAATTACGTATGGTTATTTTTTCCTTTCAAAATTTAAGCCTTTGTGAGCCTAACATATGAACTAAATGAAGTAGCTTCAGTCCCCTTAGATGAAGAACTGTGGTTTCAAAATCATCTGTAACCCTAAAATGATTAAGGACCATTTCTCTAAAGAAAGCAAACATTATAGTCTTCTGTAATGACAGCTTAATAGATATAAGATTTGAAATAAAATGAAAGAAAAGTGTAGTGTGTTTTCCTTTGGGTTATACTCAGAAGGCTTTGGAAAGGGATGATTCATTCTTTTCAAAGATTGCAGGCAAGGCAGATCTCCACAATTCCTTTGATTTAAGCAATAAAATGATGAGACCAGATTTTAGAGTTTTTTACCTTGTTTTTTTTTTTTTTAAATTGGTAAAATATGCATGATATAAAACTTAAATTGTAACCATTTTAAGTGTACAGTTCATTGGCATTAAGTATTTTCTTATTACAGCGTAACCATCATTGGCATCCATCTCCAGAACTTTTTCACCACCTCAAACTGAAACTGTAGGCATTCCCCAATCCTTCCTCCCCCAGGCCCTGATAACCACCATTTTACTTTCTGTCTCTATGGATTTAACTACTCTAGGTACCTCATGCAAGTGGAATTATATACAACATTTGTTCTTTTGTGACTGGCTTATTTAGCATAATGTCTTCATGGTTCATTTTTTTTTTTTTTTTTTTTT